CTGTTTTGCAGCACTCCGGCAGAGCACGCACAGTGGGTGGGGCAAGCCCTGGAATGTAGCGCGCAGGGGCGGGCTCGGACTGCCCCCGGAAACGTGTAAGATGGCAGCGGCGGTGGCGGCGATGGCGCACAGGGGAGGGAGGGGCTGGGACGGCGCATGGGGGAGGGGCTGGGAGGCGGCCCGACATAGCGCGCGAAGCTGGAACTGCTTGCAGGGCTCGAGGATTAGAAAGCCAATTTAGGAACACAGCTGGGTTTTGATTAGCCTCCTGGACCTGTTTTAAAAGTTTGTTATAGTTAGTATGCTTGTCCTGCTCTGGCACAGCTATAGGCCCAGAGTCATTATAAACGTCCTTAAAATGTAAATCATAACAATTAGTAATAAATTTAAATTGCCTGATATAATTCTGTGGGTCAACAGAGAGGCTACCTAATTTAAGGGTAATCTGAGATAGATCAGAAAGGGAAAAAGGCACATGGATGTTAACAAGCTCCTTGGGGCCAGCTGGCTCCCGAAGCGGTAGCAGAGCCTGAGGAGATTCCGGAGCAGAGGGCTTTTGAGCAGCCATCCTTCCGATAGGCGCATGTGAGCAATCATCTGTAGAGCGGCTACAGAGCTGCTGCCGGTCACCCTGGGAAACACGAGCAGATGGCATCTCACTGTGTGCCTTGCAGCTAGAGGACTGCTGTCGGCAGCACAATGAAGCGTCATGTGCACTGCAACAGGGCGGCTGTTGTAGTTCACAAGAGGAGCCACAAGGAGATGCCTGTTGACAGTAAGGGTCCTGGAAACATGGCGGCGCCCTGTCACGTGACCCAAAACATGGCGGTGCCTGGGAACATGGCGGCGCCCTGTCGCGTGACCCGAAACATGGCGGCGCCCTGTCGCCATGTGGCCCTCCGGAACATGGCGGCGCCATGCCACGTGGCAGAGGGTTGCAACATGGCGACTGTTCCCCGCGCAAGCTGGAACAATCACGCGACCTGCTGGAAGGACATAGCGAGCGAGACCTAGTATGGTGGGCAGGCGGTGAGAATGCTGTAGGGGATAGAGAATTCTCAGGAGAAGTTGGAGACTGTGAGGAAGCACTAACAGAGGGATCAGAGCCACTGGGAGAGTTATGGGTCCCAGGAGAAGGCGGGGGAGGGGATGGAACATCGGGAGATAACTGCGACACAGAGGGATTAGAGCTGCTGGGAGAATTATGGGTCCTGGAAGGCGGAGAGGGAGACGATCGTACAGTGGAAGGTATCTGCAATGGAGAGGGATTAGAGCTGCTGAGAGAATCAGGCACAGGGGGAGGAGAAAGCGGTCCGGCGGGAGGTAACGGCAGGGAACGAATTTGGTGGTAGGCAGGCGGCGGCTGGGAAAACAATGGAGGGCAGGACGGAAAAGTTTGTGGCGCAGTAGACTTAGCTAAAAGTATCTCAGCGGGAGCACAAGACTTAATGAGAGATGGGCGTGTTCTCAGAATAAGAAAGGCTTGGACATAAGGGAGTTCCAATAACTTGTTGCCAGCTTGACAAAAATCATACAAGTTCCTGAGAATGCAGGGGTCAAATGTTCCTTGCCGAGGCCAAGGCTTGCCGATAAGCGGGTAGGTTGGCCAGACCTCCTGGCAGTAAAAAGTTAGTTGTTTAGTTTTTATGGTACCTTTAAGTTTTAGAGTACGTAAATTGGAAATTAGGCATTTTAAAGGCGTCTTTTGGGAGTTAGAAAATACGTTCCCCATGACTGATTCAGGCAAGAAAAAAACCGGAGGTCCAGAAAAAAGTCGTCACTTATTTGTGGTACCCCGCGGCGGAACGGTTCCAAACCGTAAACTCCAGTCGTCACTGAGATTTACGAATGGAGTCTACGTGGGATCAGTAACAATTTTGCCCGTGAAAGCGCAAGGCTTTAAGGGAAGTGAGGGTCTTTCAGTGTGGGCGCTCCCAAAAATCTCTGCTTTGGGCTATCCGAACCCAAAGAACGTGAGAGATTTTGTGGGCGCAGGTTTGCCCAGAAAGAACCCTGCCCTGGGCGGTCCTAAGGACGTGAAAATGCACAGACCCACGCAGACGGGGAGAACATTCCACTGGGGCTGCCCAGTGCGAAAAGTTCCCCGGGGAGTGCTCACCTGAAATCAGTCTGGCCGATGCGGAGTGCAGGCGGCTGGCGACAGGAAGGTCTCGGGAGAGGAAAAAGCTCGGGATTAATCCAGGATGTTATCTGGCTATCGGCTAGAAGACTTTGGGTATGTGGCCCAACAGTCAGTTGCCTGCCGATAGAGTCACGGCAACAAATGATAGAGTTATTTCCAAAAGATGAAAAATATTAACAAAAGATGAGAAATATAAAATAAAAAGCGGCCTTTATTCTGAGAACACGGAGAGAGATGACCGGCAACCCCCACCGCTGGCGTCCGGCGATCTCTCCGGTGGACACGCGGCATGGGGGCCTGTAAATAGCCTCGGTTTGGGGTGGAACCTAAGGCGGGCATTAGGGATACACAGGTAGCCCATTGGTCCTAGGTTTGGCGCCATATGTAAATTCCCAGGGGCGGGAAGATGGCGTCACAGGTAACTTCCTAGGGGCAGGGCAAGATGGGGCTTCCTGCTTCCGGTCGTGGCTTTCCTGGCTACAGTGTCCTGTCTGGGCCAAACCATTCAATGACCTTGTGCTTTCCAGGCAGCTTCTTGTATAACTGACCTCAATCCCCAGAACCAACAACTTTAGATACTAAATATGACTATTATCAATGTTTAATTTGCCCTTGACATATTTAGTTATAAATTTTGTAAACTTACATTTTCACAAATGAAATGATTTTCTTTCCTTGCAGTTTAAATTACTTTTGTTTATAGGTACCAGGGATCAAAGTTACACCTAGCACTTTCCAGGCAGACGTTTCTGCCTGCTGAGCTTAAAGCCCTGGCCTGTATTAATGAATATTTTAAATGTATTAACATCACTTTATCCATTCAAATACTATTGTGATTTTAGCAAAGGATGTCAATGTAGACAGAAATTGATATACAATCATAGAGGAACTGGAACCTTCAAGAGTCAATGCAAAAAACTAATACAACAATCACTGCTACAGGCACAGTTGAAGAAAGCCAGACCTGAAGGTGAAGATGAAGTGACCAGGTCTACATGCTCCTGAAGAGAGAAACAACAGCTTGAAATGTACTACAGTTACCACCACCTCCTCCAGGAAGTTCAGATGGGCATCAATTACCATAATCAATGACCAGAACAACTGGACTATTGTTCCCACAAAATGCCTTGGCTCTTCCCACATACCTTTTCTGGCTGACTTGTTCTCCTTATGAATAATATTAGTTAAGCAGCCATAAGATTATAGGTTGAATGTTGTCTGAGACACACACTGTACCCACATTGTGGCTTTCATGTATAAATGACCCCTGACAATAGGTCTGTGGACAAAACACTGAAGACCACTCCTGAAAATTCAAGGCTATTCTTTTCTCTTTTTTTCTAAGAAAATTTTTGAACCTCTTTTGGTTTGTGACTTCCTTTCTCAATGTTGTGAGCCATAAAACTTGGTGCATTTGACATCAAACAGGGCAGGATTATATTTTTCTTATTTCAATTTAAATATGAAATTCTGCTAAAGGCCATGTTCCAAAGCCTGGATTTCAAGCTGCTTGTTTGCCATGAATTTAAGATTTCCATGAGCTTTTAAAAGTCCTCATTCTAGTGAACTGCAAATGTATTGGAGGAAGGAGGTCATTGTTGTGCTGTAGCACAGTAGGTGCCATTCCTAAATCTGTTTTTGCCACAGCCTCCTGGATGCCACTACATAGCCTTCCTTCCTCTGCAGCATCATTCAATAAATCCCATTTTGCAGAAGTCAACTTTCACTCAGCTCTATAATTTTTTTAGTAGTCTTTCTGTCACCTTGGTTGTTTATGTTTTTCATTTTAGTATTTTGATTTAAAGACATAGTCTCACTTAGGAGTTCTGGCCAGCCTACTCACTATGTAGGTTAGCCTGTCTTTGAATACATGGACATTCTCCTGTTTCAGTCTCTTCATCACTAGGGAAAAGAGGTGGGCATTATAACACATGGCATTTGTCTTTTTTCTCCTCTACTTTTCACTATTATTCTTTCATTTCAGTGGCAATGTCATTTAATCCTGTTGTTTGCTTGTGTTAGTAAAGGTTTCTGCAGCTTGAGTTGAGTTTGTGAACAACAATATAGGAAGACAAATAAACCAATTGAGAAATGTGGAATTTCATTAGCTGGTCTCAGGACTGAAGAGACCAAGAAAGTTCGTTCCATCTGCTGCTTCCCCTCCCCTTCTCCCTTCAAATCCAACTAGGTTAAGTTTTAACTTCCTAGAGGCCACAAAACAAAGGCCTGAGGTAATAGCTCCTGACATCCTGGGTCTTCCCTATCCAGAAGCCCCATCACAAATTGTGTTAATTACATCAGATTGTATTAGATTGTACATTTTTCACAAAAATAGCTTCGTTTATGTCGTAGTAATACCTGTAACTTGGTATTGTATCACAGTAATACCTGTAACTGTAAATGTGTGTCTTCCTTTTTCTCTGGGTAAAAGATTGATATGTTAATCAATGCTCTCTTCTGTAAAGAGTTGTAAAATCTTACCTAATTGATATGCTAACCATTGTTGCCCTCTAAAAATAGAACGGTTGTGGTGCTAAAGTAAGGTAATTAAGGTTGTTAATTGCTTTTAGACTTTTCTATTCAGGAGGCCTTGTGGTGCAAGTTTCCAAACTATGTGCAGCTCCACCCCCACAGGAACCAGTGTTCTTAAACAGTTAAGACAAACAGTCTTAACCTAAGGCAGATCTCTCAGTCATGAGACAAACGCCCATTCCTAAGAAATGCCACCCCTTCTAGGGAGACACTCCCTTGCCCCACTAAAAAACCCAATCCCTTAAGGACAGCTCACCATCAGCTCTGCTCTAACCCCTATGATTGGCTTCTGTAACAACGCTTGCTTGCTTTGTTGTTTTAGGCCTTAAAAGGCACAGCCCTGCTCCAGTAAGGGGTTCTCGGTTTCCACCTGTTTGGAGGACCCCGTGTACACGGAATAATAAAAACCCCTTTTGTTTTTACATGAGAGCGAGGCCCTTGGAGTCTTCCTCACGACACCGGTCTAACAGGACCACTTGTATAAAAAACCCCTATCCCCATTTCAGGATCTAAAGAAGAGGCTTTGAACTGGAAAGTTACAGATATTTTAAAAGATAGAATCACAAAAAGATCCTGTTGGAAATCATTTAGCTAGAATCTTATAATAATTTTTGGATGACAACTGTATTCAGCTTCTTTTGTTGAGCAGGTTAACTTTTTTCTTTGGGTACAACTCATTTTGCTTTTCTCCTGGGTCTTCTACCCTGAGTGATTTTTCCATTTTCTGGGTGAAATACAGGGCACAAGTTAAATGCAAAGCTCAAGATGGCATCTATTATGCCAATCTACAACACAGCTAAGTTATAAGCCTCAATATTTTCTAGGGTAAAACCACACATATCTATAATCCCAGCACTCAAGAGGCTGATGCAGGATGGCTGCTTTGAGCTTAGGGCAATTGGGCACTCCATAAAGTGTTCAAATCTAGCTGATGTACGTAGAGAAAACCTGTCTTAATAAAAGAAACTAAACTAAACAAATAAAACCCACATAACAGCTGAATCGAGACTGATTTCTTAAAATCTTAATTCCAAATCTTGGGGATTAATTGCTTGTACATACACATATTTTGAGACAGCAAATTTGATGCCATAATGCAACTCACACCTAATGTAACAGCCAAATAGGAGCACTGATTCTTTTGCTGAGTCACTGCAAAAGTCCCTTTGTGCTGGGTTTGGCGGCTCACGCCTGTCATCCCAGCACTCCAGAGGCTGAGGTGGGAGGATCCTTGCGAGTTTGAGACCAGCCTGGGCTGCAAAGTGAGCTCAAGGCCAGTCTGAACTGCATAGTGAGATGCTGTCTCAAAAAAAGACAAAAAAAAAAAAGAGTCGCTGTGCATTGTCTCTAATGCAGAGCTCATAGTGAGAGCCTGAAGGACCAGCATCCTTGAAGCACAGAGGCAGACAAATATCTCCTCAATCACTTTGATGTAAGACCAATGATATCTCTTCAAATCTCAATTAGGCAACTGAGTCCTTTGTTCTTAATATACTTAAGCAGCATTTTGATATTTGAATTTGGTTTCACAGAACAAAACATAAATAACATCAAATATGGTACATAAATAATAACTCAAATGTTCATGGAAAACTGCTGTAGGTAAAAAACGTATAAACAATGAAACCAGGTGCAAGCTTCAAATTATAGCTCAGTGTCAATAAATGATCACTTTCCATTCATAAATAAGAAATATATCTTGGGAGGCTGATGCAGGAGAACTGTCTTGAGTTTGGGGCTAGCATAAGTTGCAGAGCTGTCTGAAATAGAGAAACCCTCACTGAGATACTACACAGACAATGTGAAACTTGAAAAGTGACTGCATAAGACACCTTTGGTTTGCTTTAAAAAGTTATAGCAATACAATATAGAAAAATTGCACAATATTCAACATTTTCTGAGGAACAAGGTTGATATCATCTATAACATACAGAAAACAGTTTCAGAGCTGGGTATTTAGGTAGCAGCATGAAAACCTAATCTGCAAGCTTGAGATCATGAGTTCGATCCTTGGTACAAAAAAAATTCAAATTTCACCTTCATGATACTGGGTCATAATTCAAGATAATCAAAACTAGATCTCAAGTGAACAACACAGAATTCATGGGTTGACAGGGATGTGGAATACTGATTCTTACCAGAGCTTGTGCTATTCACCTCAAGGAAGGTATCATAATTTAACTTTAACTTCATGCTTACCCTAAGAACTACCTGACTTTCAGTGAAGACCCTCTCTGTTGTATGTCCTGCTATTTGCACACAGTGTCCTGCCAGTCACTTCCACATCCTTTCCATGCTCATCTGATCCACCCTAAGCAGAAAACCCTTCATGCCTTAACTACTGATATCCCTGCACAATTTCAATTTAGGGCATCTCTTTACACGAATTAGTAAAGTCCATTACAGAGCATTTCCATATTTAAACAATGTATATGATCAACCACGCTATTAAATCACCTCTTCATTCAGAGACGACACCCATATTCCTTTCCATTCAGAAGGAAATCACATGTATATGTTCATGCAAATGACTAAATTTAGGCATTTTTCAAAGAGAATTTAACACGCAGCCCTTTCTGGAATTTATCCTTAGCAAGCACACTTTACCCTGGCCTTGATGACACTTTTATATCTGCTTCATTTTTCTCAAAATTCCAACCTCTATGGCTGTTCTCACAAACATAGATTATGAGCACATGTGTCACATAAAGAATGCTCAGAAATTCTTTGCACTGTTATTTATCATACACAGGAGTTCACCAGGTGTTTGGAAAGCCTTCCTCCACTGAAGTATATCACCACACACCACTGAATTCTCATAATCTTTGCCAACACCTGTCATGGGGTTGAAAATGTGAGAACATAGTATAAATTTAGGTGATCACAAAATACATAAATGCATAACTTTAAGGAGAGCAGTTGTGGCTACGAGGTCCTGCAGCAAAGACAATTATAAGCTTCTGGCTTTCAGATCTGATGCTGACAGGAATGAGAGCAGAGACCTGGCTTATTACAGCTGCACCCAGCTTGAAAACACATCGGAATCAGGCTCTCCTCATGCCCCGTCCTGGGCCCAGACTTGGAGGAGCAAGAGCAGCAGGCGATTTCAAAAATGGCCTTGTGGCCTGGTTGTATCACAGTGGTGACAGCGTTCTAGGGACCCAGAACTGTCTTGGCCCCAGTGAGAGGTAAAAGGGACAGAGGCTGACTCACTGCTAGCACTAGACGACCTCAGGGTCTGAGGCTAAGCACACAGGCTCTAGACAGCACAGCTGCTGCTCACCACTTTTTTTTTTCTTTTCTTTTTCTGTCTTTCTTTCTTTCTTTCTTTTTTTTTTTTTTTTTTTGGTCTTTTTCCTTTTTATTGGTACCGGGGATCGAACTTATGACTGCCTGCTTTTATGGCAGGCACTTATGCAGCTGAGCTAAACCCCAGCCCCTTCAAACCACTTCTAACTGGTCTCAAGTGGATTCCACCCCATTTAACTGCTCCCATCCCATAACATCACCATTGCATAGTTTGGAGGTCTCCCAGGTTCTTTCTAAGCAGTCCACAGTGAATAGAAGCAAAAAATAGTGGTCTAGCAAACATCTAGCGCTCCCTTTTTTGCCCTGGCTTTGCAATTGACGCCATGACACTGGAAGAGACCGCCTACCTTGGCCCGCCTGATTGGACAGTTCTTACAGTCAGCCTCTTCATCACTGATTGGCTCCTGCTCTCCTGCCTGCCTTCCCCACCAAGAATAATTACAGAAAAAACCCCACCCTGGAACTGTGGGTCCCCAATGAAAGATGGTGGAGGCTCCTGGAGCTGGCTGTCTTCTGGAATGGTGACCTCAGCTCGTCTGATGTGTATTTGCACTGAAAGTCTTTACCTCAGTCCTTGTTTTTTCTCCCAAATGCATTTTATTTGAAAGTTAAAAAGTAAAAAAAGGGTCCAGGGATTTAGCTTAATCGCCTGCCTGGCAAGCTAGAGGTCCTGCATTCCATCCAAGATCTGGCTACCACAAACTGTGCTACTATAAACGTGGGTGCACATATATCATTGTGGTATGATGATTTTTATTCTTTTGGGTAGATACTCAGAAGGAGAATAGCTGAGTTGAGTGGGACCTGTAGACCTAGTTTGTGTGGAATCTCCACACTGATTTCCACAGTGGTTGCCTTACCACCAACAATGGAGAAGGATTCCTTTTTCCCCCACAACCTCTCCAGCATTCGTTATTGCATGATTTCTTGACAGTAGGCATTTTTTTTCTGGGGCAAGGTGACATATCAGTGTTATTTAGTTTGCAATTGTTAAATGTCGAGTGATGCAGAATATTTTATCACATATTTATTTGCTGTTTCTATTTTTTCATCTGAGAACTGTGAATTTCACCTCAGATGCACATTTTTGGATTGGGTCTTTAAATCTGGGAAGACTGAAATTTTTTAGTTTTCCGTGCTCTCAATAGTAATACTTTGTCTGAGAAAGAGTTGGCAAATATTTTCTCCCACATTGTGGGTTGTCTTTTCACTCTGTTAGTGATTTCTCTTGCTGTTAAAAAGTTTTTCAGTAGGGTGAGATTCTCACTTAATTGTCTTTGATTTTTGCTGTTCAATCCAAGTTTTCATCATAAAGTCTTTTCGTACATCAATGTCTGCAAGAGTTTTACTTACTCTATCTTGCAGCAGATTTAATGTTTCTGTTTTAATATAAGATCTTTGATCTATTCTGATCTTAGCTTAATACACGTTGAAAGATAATATTCATAATGTATAGAGCCAGGTTTTCCAGCACCATTTATTAAAGAGGCTGCTTTTCTTCCAATGACTTTGTTTGGCACCTTTGTCAAAGATAAGATGGTTTAGTGGTCTGGGGTTGTTTTTCCATCTTCTAATTTGTTCCTTTGATCTTTGGGTCTGGTTTTGTTTGTTTTGTTTTTTGTCAGTACCACATCTTATTTTTTTAATCATGATACCTTTATAGTATAATTTCAAGTCAGGGATTTTGATGAACCCTATCTTTCCTTTGTTTCAAAGCATCACCTTTGCTACTCTAGGTCTCTTCTGGTTCCAGATGAATTTTTGGAATTATTTTGTGTTTTTCTTTGAGATATGCTACAGGGTTTTGATTGGGATTGCACTGAATCTGTACAATAGCTTTGGAAGTATGGTCATTTTCACTATATTGAATTTCCCTACCCAAGACTATGGGATAGCTCTTCATTTTAGAATCTGTTCTTCAATCTCCTTTTTGAGAGTACTGTGGTTTACAGTATAGAGATCCTTTACATCCTTTGTTAGATTCATTCCTAAGTATTTCATTTTGTTGGATGCTATTGTAAAAGTTATTGTTTGCTTGATTTCTCTTTCCATGAGTTTTTT